CGCCCCGCCCCGGTGTCCCAAATCCTAGCTCTTCCGAGTTTCTCCCGCTATCTCCGCCAACCCCCGCGCACTCACGACAGAAGTCAGGCGTCCTCCAGGGCCGCAGGTGCACGCCCAGAGCCTGACAGGCGACAGTGAAGGCGGCCAGGGCTCGGCAGACGATGTGACGAGCGCCGTAGTGGCGACACACGTCGTCCAGGCAGTTGTCCATGAACGGGAGCGGGTCCAGCGCGGCGTAGCATGGCCCGAAGGGACCCTCGGCCGCCGCCAGCAGCCCGCAGTACGCGTCTCCAGCGAATCGAGTGCGCTTGGCCACTGGGCACGGGCTGGGACAGAGGGACCCGCAGAATGGGCCACAGCCCGGCACTTCTGCCACCTTCCAGGTGTCGGGCACCTGCACGGTGGGGCTGCTCGGGCCGTGCTGGCCACAGAGTCCGCACAGGTAGGGTCCATAGGGCCCCGGCAGCGTTACACGTGCCAGGCTGTCCCAATCGTAGGTCAGGGAGAGGCCGAAGTCCGTGTCTACGCAGAGTTGGCGGCCTTGGTAGTAGGCACGGAGGCAGTGGCCGTGAAAGAAAGGGAGCGATTCCAGAATTCCATCCACCTACAGGGAGGGCATGCAGGTGGCGAGAACAGCAGGAGAAGGATGTAGGAGATTTCAGTGGAAATTCTTGGAAATGTCAATAAAAGATCAGGGAAGGATCAAGGGGAACATTGGTTAATAGGGGTAGTCATTAGGAATCATAAGGAGATTCAATGGACCATCAGTGGAGGCTAAGTGGAGGGTAAGTAAAGGGTTCAATGGTAGAGCGATTAGATAAGAGTTCATGAGGGGTCCGTGGGAGATCAACGAAGGGTAAAAAGAATAATTAGGGAGTCAGTAAGGGAGCAATTGGAGGATCAAGAAGAGGGATAATGGCAATGTGGATAGACAAATATAAGGTGTATGAGGATCAAGAGAATGCTTAAGGTGGCTTTGGGTGGCAATCGGGAGGCTCAGCGGGTGAGTAAAAGGGGGTGGAGTCAATGAATTTTAATGGGACAGTCTAAGGAAGGCTCCATGGGTGAGACTAAGAATCAAAGACAGGCACAATTGGGATAATAGAAAGCCCTGAGGATTCAATGGCAATAGGAAGCTCAGTGGGAAGATCCATAGACATGTAAATGGTATCAATGTCGGTGGATTACTGGTGGATTACTAGGAAGATTAACTGATAGCTCAGTACATATCTGTGCTGTGTGGGGTGAGATCAAGAGGACAGTAATAAGGTTAATGGGCAAGTCAATATAACAGTAGTAGGATCAGTTGGGGAGGGGCAATGAATGGGTTAATGGGATATTCGATGGGGGAGAAAGGGAAGGTCAATGGGAAGATCAAGGCTGAGTCTATGGTTAAAGGGGAGTCAACTGAGGACTCAGTGGAGGGTTAATGGGAAGGTGATAGGAGACTCAAGGGTAATAGGAGTCTCAGAGTCTGTGGGAAGGGGTCAACAGGCAAGTCAATGGGCTGTTAAGAAATTGGAGGACATCTTTGAGGATCAGTAAGAGTCAATAAAGGGGGCATCAGCCGGAAAAGAGGGGACACTCCAGGTTACCTGTGGGTAGTGGGGACGGTAAGGGATAATAGGTTGATCTGGAGCCTTTGAAAACTCACCCGGATGCGGTTGAGATCTTTTGGACTCATGTCCAGCCTCAGGCCACAGGCTAAGAGGGTCAGGGCCTTGGTCCAGCCACGTGGCCGCAGCAGTGGGGTCAAATCCAGGCTGAAGGGCTGAAGGTTGGCATGGGCTGTGCCACAGAGACCCACCAGGCGGTAGACACAGGAGCCAGGGAATTCATAGTGGGTTCCTCCAAATGTGTGGAAGTGGAAGTCTCCAGTGGCCATGCAGACCGGTGACTTTTCCAGGACAGTGGGACTGGGTGGGGACTGGGCTAACAGGCAGTGGTACCAGCCACCTGTGGAGGCCTTGCAGTGGCCATGGCACTTGTCAGGCCAACACTGGGGAAGCTTGCTCACCAGGGCACCAAGGGTCGGGCAGTGGCATTGCTGCGTACAGTTGTCTCTCCAGAAAGTCCGGCCTTGGTGCAGGAAGCAGGAGCAGTGGTCACGGGGCACACATCGGCCCCCTAGCAGCAGGTAGCCAGGTAGGCACTGGCAGGTCGGAGCACACGGGTGGCTACAGTGATCTGGGGCAGCGGGGTTGGCACATGTGGCTGGGCATGCAGAGCCACATGGAACAAAGCGGGAGTTTTCTGGGCACTGGGGACTGGGGCTGGGGAGCAGGGGTGGAAAAGGTGGGGAAACCAGTGGTGGGGCCACAGAGCTCGGGGCAGGGGCCAAGGTGGCTGTGGGGGAGAGAGAGAAGATCAGGCACATATGAGTCCCAGGGGTCTGGGTCACCAGTCCTCTCCTTCCCAGGACTTAGGAGTCATGCCCCAATCTCTGACCCCTCAGACCACAGCCCTGGGCACCTTGCAATCGACAGCCTAGGACTCCATCTGTGATGCCACAGACCTCCTCCATAGGGCAGCTGAAGGGGACACAGGCCACACCCTCCCCTAGTTGGCAGGTACAGGAGGAGGAGCAATTCTGGATGAGGACTGTCTGGCCAGGCTGTGGAGGAGGGGAGGGAGGGTGAAAAGGGAGGTAGCATTGAAGGCAGGGTGCAGCCAGAGGTTCTGAGATGAGACCCATACAAGGAAGTGCATGGAGATCCAAGGCAAAGTGGGAGGACCCAAGTGAAGCTCCCACAAGGACCCAAGAGGATGCTCACAGGGAAGTACTGGCCATTGTGGAAGCAAGGGCAGTGGTCCACGGGGACGCAGTCATGCCCGGCTGGGAAGAATCCATCTTCACACTCGCAGCCCTCAGCACAGGGAGTGGGGAGCCCCACCACTTCCTGAACACCGGGACAGGCCGCAGGGCAGGGGTTCACACACAGACTGTAGTGGCTGTTGGGGAGGCACCGCATGGCTGTGGAGAGGGGGCTTGTCAGACACAGGCAAGCCAGGGGCATACCCTCCGCTGACCCCGCACCCTCAGATTGCAGACCTCCCCCTCGGATTAACCTCGACAGCAATAACAACCAGCAGAGACTGAGCAGCGTCTGCATGCTATGCAGGGCGCTAGCTACTTGAATGCATCCCAGATAGGACTAACATGGCTTCCCTGCTCTTTGTCTTTTCTGGGGTTTTCCCTCCCAATCCCAGTCCCAGCTGAGGGGGTTGACTATTACTTGAACCACCAAGTGATCCCACCTTTTATCCTGCTTGTTTGGGTCCATTGGGAACCTGTCAGTGGATTCTAGTGGTGGATGTCTTTTCTTGCCCTCTCTATCCTTCTAATAATAATACCCCCACTTGCTTTTTGATAACTACCCATCCTTACTTTCAACATGTGGACTGAGGTGATTTCACATCCAGGTTCCAGGGATGTGTACAGAACCCAGAGCTGGCTAATCAGATTATTCTTCCCTCCTCTGGATCACAATAACTGGACAGGCAAAACCCGTGGGTGGTGGACCCTGGGACTTCTGCTGGGGCCACTGGGAAAAGCGTGTAACATTTTTGCAAAGGCTTTGAAGCTGATAGAATTGTCAGCCTGAAGTTGCCAAAGCCTTGCTGGTACCACAGAGGAGAATCTGCTTGAGAATAAAGCTAGCACAGAGAGAGGAAGGAAGGGACGAACAAGATGGAGAAGGAGAAAAACTGACTTTTTTTTTTTTTTTTAACTGCAGTTGAAAATTCTTAATCCCGCTAAGCCTGAGGATAGGAACACCCTCAGTCTTCGCGGTTATACATGCTTCAGATTGTTTGGTCTTTCTTCCTTCAGTTTGAGTTGGGACTCTGACGTTGCCATTAGGAGTTCTGCTTGATATAGTGGCCACATTGTGTATCCATGACCAGCTAGTTGGGCCAGGGCTGGGGAAATGACCATGACAGTCAGAGGTGGAGGTGGCCATCAGTCTGTAAGTAAAGAGCAACCCATACAGATTTCCTCCAAGAACATCTGAACGTAGAGGCAGAAAGAGGTCAGAAGGAGATAGACACTGATACCACAATGATAAGTCAAGGTGGGGCTGAGAGTCCATGAGGATTATGGAGAATACATGTGGACAGAGAAATTGGAAGTTGATGAGAATTTGTTAAATGAACAAAATATTCAGGTGCCAGCTAATAAGTCATTTTCTAGGTGTGTGACTCTGGGCAAATTCCTTAACCACCTATGCCTTGGTTTCCCTCACCCATAAGCTGTACTTGCCTGATGGGGCTGTTGGGAGAATTGAGAGCTTAGCACTGACAATGCACACAGTGAGGTCAGCTGTTCTTTTCGTGTTGCTACTGGAAGTATTTTTACCTTATTGTTGGGAGTGAAACTATAGCATAGGGTGTCAGAGAGAGGATTCTGGAGCCAGGTGACAAGCCAGTTCCGCCCCCTGCTGACTGTGAGATCTGGAAAATTCTCTGTGCCTCTGTCCCCGACTATAGGAGGCAGACAATTGTCCCTCTCTCCTAGAGCAGTTCACAGATGGAGTGAGCTGACTTAAAGCAGGTAAAACAGGTTCTCAGACCCAGCCTTGTGTCCAGGTCTCCTGGAGGGCTTGTTAAAACAGATTGCCGGGTGCCACTCCAGAGTTTCTGCTTCAGTAAGTCTGGGACAGGGCAAGAATTTGCATTGTAAACAAGCCCTGAATATTGCTGCTGCAGCTGCTGGTCCAGGGGGAACAATTTTAACACAGCACCTGAAACTGAATGAGTGCTTTGTAAATGTTAGCTAAGGGATAAAATCAAATCTGTTTTCCCAACCATAGGGTGTGCAGGACTCTGCCCTGTTTGGTGCTGTATCATTAGCGTGGGCCCGACACGTAGTAGGCCCTCAACTAACACCTGTGTTATGAATGAAGCCCAGACCGCGGTCTCCCGCCGCGGACCCCACCCGGCCGGAAAGCCCTCTGGCGGGGGACGTACGGCAAAAGCTGGGAGCCCTCCAGGGCCACATATCCGCACCAGCCGTCTGGCAGGCAGCCACGTAGGCTTGCAGGAAGGCACAGAGCACTTGGCGGTTCCCGCGGGCGCGGCCCATGTCGGCCACGCAGGCCTGGAAGAAGGGCTCGGGCGGCAGAAGTGCGTGGCAGGGTGCCAGCGGGCCGCCGGGCTCGCGCAGGAGGCCGCAAGAGCCACGCCACGCTGCGTCTGCGCCCGCGGCCTCGGCGGCGGGTGGACAGCCGGAACCCGGGCAGGGACGTGGCGCCGCGCAGGGCCCGGGCCTCGGCAGCTGCAGGTCATCCGACGCCTTGCCGTTGAAGTTGCCGCAGAGGCCGCGCGTGAGGCCGCGGTAGGCCGCAGGCAGCTCCACGCTCAGGTGGCCACCGGGCCCGAAAAGCAGGCGCGGGCCCCCACGCACCGCGAGCACCACCGAGGCGCCCCGCGCGAAGGCGCGCACCCTGCCCTCGGTCAGCTGGAAGGGCAGGCAGCGCCGCACGCCGTCCATCTGCGGGCAGGGGTGGGGCAGCCCGGAGTGAGGGGGGAGGGCCGGGTCTGGGGAGAACTGGGAGGAGTCTGGGAGGAGGGGTGGTGCGGGCAGGGTGTGCAAGGAGGAAGAGAGGTGGTGTGCCAGAACGGGGGAAGGGTGCAGAGGGACTGCCGGGGTGATAAGAGCGACAGTGGGTGAAGGAGAGGAGTCAAGGGGTAGGGACATTCAAGGCAGTGCTTGGGGAGTGGGTATTGTGGGAAGGTGCGTGGAGACCAAGAGAGGGGAAGCTGAGCGAGGGGGAGGGAGAGTGGTGAGGTGGGCCCGGAGTTCAGGGAGAGAGGGGAAACTCCTTACTCAGGGACCGGAGAGGGCCCTGAGGGCATCCGTGGACCTGGGGGCTGGGAGGCAGCAGAGGTCGGTAGAGCGGGGAAGGAAGGGGGGAGGGGCGTGGGGACAGGAGGAGGAGAGAGGGGAGGGGCCACTGTGGAGAGGAAAGGAGGGGGAGACCTGGAGAGGAAAGGCAGTGGAGAGGCAGGGGCACCAGAGAGGGGGTTGGGCCAGCAGGGAGCAGGGGTCAAGGAAGGCTGGGTGGGCTTCGTGGGGAAGAGGTGATGGTAGTCGTGGAGCGGGAGGGGGCTCATGGAGACCCCGGTGGAGGAGGGAAAGAGACCGAGATGAAGACTAGGGGTGGGGGAGATAGGCGGGGTGGGTGTGGGGGGTGAAGAGGGAGAGGAAGGAAGTGGGAGAGACAGAGCCTGAGCAGCATGGAACGGGGATGTGCAGACCCAACTATTGAGAGAGGGATTGAAAGGGGAAGGGGCAGGAGGAGAGGGTGGGGGAAGTGGAGAAGGGAGAAGGAGGAGAGTGGAAATGAGGTTGTTGGAGAGAGGCGGGCATCAGGCGGCGGCACTCAGAGACCCCACCTGTCAGAACAGAGACTGCCAGGCAGCTGAGAGGAGGCGGAGCACAGGGCGGGGGCTCACCGTGATGTATCCCCAGTCCTCCCAGTCCAGGCCGAAGCGGTGGCCGTGCACGCAGAGCCGCGCGCGGCGGCGCTCGGGCGTCCGTGGGCTTTTCTCCAGCACCACCTCGAAGGGCCACACACCCCGAAGGCGGCCCGTGCCCGTGCTCACCAACGAGGAGGTGCAGGCGCCCGGGAGGTGGAAGGTGGTGCCGTCGAAGGTGCGGTAACGGAGTCCGTCTGAGGCGAGGCAGAGGCCTGGGGCGCCGGGGGCTGCGCGGCAGGGTCTGCAGACCACCCGGCCGCCAGGGCGGCAGCGGCAGCAGCGGCTGGTCGCGGGCCGCGGGGACGACAGCGGCGCGCCGGGTTCCAAGTAGCGGCCGGCGCTCAGGCAGCCGCACTGAGCCGCGGGCACGCAGTCGGCGCCACTCAGCAGAAAGCCCGCGTCGCACACGCAGCCCTCGCGGCAGAGCCCAGGGCCGTCGCAGCCGGGCGGTGGCTTCAGCCCCGCGCAAGTGGCTGAGCAAGCCGGAGCGCACAGCGTGTAGCGCGAGTGTGCGGGGCACACGGGGCCTGTGGGAGCAAGTGCGATTGGAGGATTACTTCGAGGCATGTGGCTGTTGGCAATCTCCCCCTCCCCCTCCCCCTTGGGGCTAGGATGGGGCATCTGGGGCCCTGCAGGGGTAAAGCTCTGCTTAGGCAGAGCTGCAGGAACTTTCAGATGGCAAAAGACCACGTGGTGTGGATCAGAGGCAGAGCTAATCTGTAGGGCTTGGATGGGTAAGGGTTTGGGGGCTGGACCATGAACAGGTTTGAGTCCCTGAGACATAAGGGCTGAAGGGCTGGACCATAATCAGGGCTAAGAAGAAGGAAGGATGAGAGCTGGGGGCTGGACTTCCGTCAGAGTAGGCCTGACACTGGATGGGCCAGTCTCTGGCGGGGGGGGGGGGGGGGGGGGGAAGTGGAGGGATGGATGGAGGCTGGCGCAGTGGGAAGTACAGGGTCTCAGGGATACACTGTGCAGGGATGAGCTGGCACCCTGGGATGAGCAACAGCCAAGGAGCTGAACCTCTGTCAGGAGTGGGACCAGGTTCCCCAGATGAGCAAAGATGGAGAGGCTGACGGAAGCCCTAGGCACTCACTGCACAGACTCGACTTCCGCCAGGGGAAGACTTGGCCACCCAGCAGCTGGCAAGTTTCACAGTAGAGGCTGAGCATGGGGCAGGGTCCAATGCCTAGACATACATCCACCATACAATCTTGGACATAGGGACCTGGTGCCAGCATCTCATGGCACAGCTGGAAGGGCCCCAGGGGGTCCAAGAGGATGTCACAGATGTGGGCAAAGTGGGCTGGGGTGCTGGTGGTCCACAGGGCGACACAGGATGGTGGCAGTGGCGGCATCTTGTCAGCAGCATTCGGGCACCCAGTCGGGGAACCCACCAGATAGCTATGGCCAAAGGCCCAAACCAATGCATCCTCAGGCAGCTTGGTGCCCAGCACAATTCCAGGCACCTGGAGGTCATCCATGGGATCCCCATTGTAGTCAGCACACAGCCCCACCACATGGCCCATATATGCTGCTGGAAGATCCACTACCACGCGGATCCCGGGGGCATAGGTCACCCGCAGGCCAAAGGGGCAGCTGACCACAGTGTCCCAGCCATGGCGAAAGATGAGGATACTGTTGTTCACAGCCTGGAATGGTAGATTCTGCCAGTCTCCATTCACCTGTGTGAAGAAGGTATGTCAAGCTGGGGCTCTAGGGACCCCGTATCAGTACCCAGGATGCCTATGTCCCTAGGTAAGAGCAGGGCCTCCAGAAGGCCTTGTTGAGGCACTAGGGGTCTGTCTACAATAACCTGAGAAAAAAAAGAAAAAAGAAGAAGAAGAAGAAGAAGAAAAAAAGCTTGGGATGCTGTCCACGGTACTGCTAGTTTTTCCAACAAATACTTGGATGGTGAGAACTGTGGATTCTGGGATTTGGGCCTGTAGTATTCCTGGATCAGATTTGGGGATTTGAAAGTGACAGCCTCTCAAAGTGACACATGTGCAGTGTCTGGCACTTAGTCTGTGTTCAATAAATATTTGTTGAACTAATGCATGGATGAATGAATGAGGCTCATTGCCTTGGTCAGGCTGTAGAGTCCTAGGGATGCTGGGATTTCTAGGTAATGGCAGGGGCTTCAGGGTGCTATGCAAATGGCTCAGGGCGGGGAGGTCTGTCCACAACACATACAAATGTTGAAGCTGCTCTCCATGGTCTAACCATATTTGTCCATAGCAGCTGGGGCTGGGGGTATAAGAATTGGGGATGAGGGTTTGTAAGCTTTGGGAATTGGGGATTTGAAATTCCTGGATTGGGTCTGGGGATGCCACTTGGACTGAAATTGGGTCTGAAATTCAGTTAACACATATAACCTGTGTTATAGTGCCTGCAATACAGTAGTTATTCAATAAGTGATTGTTGAATGAATAAATGGGATTCTTGGGTCAGGCCTGGGGTTTCAAGAGCCCAGAATCAGGACTAAAAGCTCTGTTATACTGGGGCCCACAATGAAGGCTCTAGGATTCTTGAGTCAAAGCTAGGAGTTTTTGTCCCAGACACTCCAGGCCAGGAGTAACTGTCTCAAACACTTAGGTTGAATTATATGAAACTGCCACATTTGTAGGGAAAAAAAAAACCCATCAAATATTGGCAGCTTCATATGGTCCAATTTTAATAACTACATGTGTCAGGACAGTGAACTGTGATAATTAAGAGTCCTTTGACTTTGGAGTCAAGTTATCTGGGTTCAAATCTTGGCTTCTGGTTTGTTTAGCGGTCTCACTTTGGCAATTTATTTATTTATTTATTTATTTATTTATTTATTTATTTATTTTTTAAAGATTTTTTTATTTGACAGAGAGAGACACAGCAAGAGAGGGAACACAAGCAGGGGCAGTGGGAGAGGGAGAAGCAGGCTCTCCGCGGAGCAAGGAGCCGGATGTGGGGCTCGATCCCAGGACCCTGGGATCATGACCTGAGCCGAAGGCAGACACTTAATGACTGAGCCACCCAGGCGCCCCTCACTTTGGCAATTTATTTAACTTCTCTGTAAAATGAGAAAAATAATATTCACTGGGAAAAATTGTTGTAAGGATAAAGTAAGGACTTGTAATTGTGTGGCAGTGTTCCTTGGGGCATCAGAGAGATCTTAGGTTCTGGGATTAGGGTCCCTTAGGGCCCCCTAGGGCTAGACCCCTGGTCCCAGGAGAAGCATAAAACCTGGTCCTAACTCACATGCCTCCAGGGGCCAGGCAAATAACTAAATGAGTGAAGTGGAGAGGGTGGGATGTGATGGGGACTGTGACAAACTGGAGAGAAAGTATGTGCCCCTGGCTAGAGAGGAAAGTCCCAACCACAAGTGGCCATTAGAATAGGAGACCCATTGCCAGGGCTTCTCGTTTCTCAAGAGATACTATACGTCCAGCCTTCCTCATTTAAAAGTGGTAATTCAAATTAACAAGTCAGGAAACAACAATGTTGACGAGGATGCAGAGGAAAGGGAACCCTCCTACGCTGCTGGTGGGAATGCAAGCTGGAAAACAGTATGGAGGTTCCTCAGAAAGTTAAAAATAGAGCTACCCTACTACCCAGCAATTGTACTACTAGGTATCTACCCTGAAGATACAAATGTAGTGATCTGAAGGGGCACCTGCACCCCAATGTTTATAGCAGCAGTGTTCACAATAGCCAAACTATGGAAAGGGCCCAGAGGCCCATCGACAGATGAATGGATAAAGAAGATGTGGTGTGTATATAGATATATAGTGGAATATTATTCAGCCCTCAAAAAGAATGAAATCTTGCCATTTGCAATGACGTAGATGGAACTAGAGGGTATTACACTAAGTGAAATAAGTCAATCAGAGAAAGACAATTATATGATTTCACGCATATGTGGAATTTAAGAAACAAAACAGAGGAGCAGAGAGGAAGGGAGGGAAAAATAAAACAAGACAAAATCAGAGAGGGAGACAAACCATAAGAGGCTCTTAACTATAGGAAATAAACTTAAGGTTGATAGAGGGGAGGGGTGGGGGAGGGGGTAACTGGTAACGGGCATTAAAGAGGGCACGTGATATAATGAGCACTGGGTGTTATATGAACTGATGAATCACTGAACTCTACCTCGGAAATTAATAATACACTATATGTTAATTAATTAATTTAAATAAAGTAAAATAAAATAAAATAAAAGACTTATAAAAACAAAAATATACCATGTTGGTGGGCTGGCAAACTCAACAGTCTGCCCAGTTGGAGTTATAGATTCAATGCAATCCCAATAAAAAAATCCACCCAAAAATAAAAAAAGTGGTAATTCAGTAATAAATTAAAAATATTGCCAAGGCAAACTCCTGATGCAAAATAACTGTTGGTGTCTGGGTCCTGTCCTCTGTGGTTGGTGAATACTCAGCCCCATGGCCCCACAGCTCCTCTCCCAGTGTCTCTTCCCAGGGCCTTTCCTACCTTGATGAGAAAATTTGCCATGTTGAAGTGGTGTCAGAATCACTGGGGACTCTGAATTATGTTTCACAAAGGAGGTAGCTGAGGTCATGTTTTTTTTTTTGTTTTGTTTTGTTTTTGTGTTTTTGTGTGGGTTTTTTTGTTTTGTTTTGTTTTGTTGTGTTTTTTTTTTTCAGAGACAGCATAACAGACCCTGGAGCCAAAATGCCAAGGTTTAAATACCAGCTCTGCTATTTATCAGCTGTGTGACCTTGGGCAAATGGCCTCACCTCTCTGGGCCACAGTTTCCTCATCTGGAAAATGGCAATGCCAATTGTATCTACCTTAAAAGGACTCTTGTGCATTATGTGTTATTATATTGGCACCTAGTGAGTGCCTTCCATGTAGCCTTTCCAACAACACTACAACCTCTTTTCCTTTGCCACAGGAAGTTATGGGGGACTGGGTAAGGAGCTTCTGGACTTAGAGTTTGGTCCGAAAGAGTTAAGGCTTGAGTTCTGATTTGGAGGTTAGTTTTGGGGGGTTAAAGTTCAGCGGCCGTGTCAGAGATCATGGGGCAAGAGGAAGGACGTGGGAGTCCTAGGTTGAGGGTCCAGTATCATAGGACAAAAACTCAAGGTGTGATCCTAGGGTGAGGTTAGGGGGCTCTTGGGATCAGGGTTGGGAGTCTCGAGGTGAGGACCCTGGGTCAGAGGTCATAACGTGGGATCCCTGGGTGCATGTGTGGGCAGGGTTGGGATTTTCTCACCAGGACACGACCGGGTTCCTTGGGGTCCAGCCTCAGGTGGCACCCAGACACAAGCACTTCGAGGCTACCCGGGAGGCCATCAGGACCCGTGCCCAGGAGCACACGGAAGTCCGCCAGTTCCTGCGGCGCTGGAGAACTAAGGCCGCTCAGCAGGTACAGGCAAGAGCCAGGAAAGCGAAACCGGCGCCCATCGAAGGTGATGTAGTGGCCTCCGCCGGCCGCCACGCATGTCGCCATGCTCGAGGGCACACACGTCCGCAGGCCGAGTGACAGGATGCAGCGCTCACCTGGCCTGCAACCGGCCTGGGTGCAGATCACGCTCCCTCCTGAAGCTGGGCAGACGCAGCGGCGCGTGCAGCCCACGCCCTCCCATAAAGTCTCGCCTGGTCCCAGCAGACGTCCCTGGTGTGTGCAGCCACAGCCACCAAGCCCCGGGCGCCGCAGGACGCAGTCAGCGCCGCTGTGAACGTAGCCGGCATCACAGGCGCACGTTTCCCCGCAGGGCAGCGGGCACGACGCTCCCAACCGACCCATGCACGTCTCTGGGCAGGAGGCGCCACACGGTTCGTAGTGGCTGTTGTGGGGGCACTCGATGGCTGGGGGCAGAGGGAGAGGAAGGTGGAGGGGAGAAAGTGTTCACATCAGGATCTCCTAGTCTGGTTCCAGAGACCTAAGTATTCAGCTACCCCTGAAATGGAGACGTTCTCGCCCTCAGCTTCCAAGAGTCCTGCCCAGGATCCTGGGGATCCCCCTCCCCTAGAATGGAGGCTTTCCAGCAATCTCCGTCTCAGAGTAAAGAAGTTTCTATCATCAGAAACCAGAAGTCCCCTTTCCAGAACATAAAAGTCTGGCCCTGGGACACAGAAATCTCACCCCAGAGCCTGGAGTCCTCGTCGCCTAGAGGACTTCTCCAACCACCAACTCCAGGAAACCTGTCTTTTACTAATTCTAGACCCCAGGGTCCGGAAGCCTTCGCCCTAAGACTCAAAGACCCCAGACCCCAAGACCTAGGTGTTCCAGGTCCCAGAAACCAGAAATCCCGCCCCTAGGGTGAAGAAGTCTCCATCCCCAAACCCAACGAACTCTGCCTCTGGGGCCTCGGAGGTCCCACCGCAGGGACCCTGCAGGCTTGCCCCAGGAATCAACTCCAGCATCCAGGAGTGCCACCCCCTAAGTCCCAGAATCCCCTTCCCCAGTAACCCATAGCCTTTTCCATCTTAAGGCTCACTCACGGCAGCCAGTCTGGAATCTCCAGGAGTTGATGCAGACACCCAGGCGCTGACACGCGTGCGCGTAGAACTGGAGGGTCAAGCAAAGCGCAGGTCGGTAGTTGGGAAGGGGACAGATCCAAGCACTGCAGCTGGCCTCGAAGGGCGCAGGCAGCAACACGTCGTGGCAGGGGCTAAAGGGCCCCTTCGGAGCTGCCAGGATGGCGCAGGGCCCCGGGGTCTCCGGTGGGGCCGCTGGCTTGGCGCAAGGAGCAGCCCAGAGGGCGTGGCACGGCGCATCCGGCGGCTGCAGGGCCCAAGTGCGCAAGAAAGCTCGCGGGTCCGGACCGCCCACATCGTCTGTCGGGTCGCCGTTGAAGTTGCCGCACAGGCCCACCACGTGCGCACGGTAGCCGTTGGTCACTTGCAGAGACAGCGCGTGCTGCCAGTCGTACACCAGGCGCAGCGCGGGCGGCTCATGCTCCAGACCTGCCTCTGCCCATAGTTCTGAGCTGCGGAAATGCAACCGCAGCCTCCCGTCGTGCAGCGTCGCCGGCAGCCGGAGCCGCTGCTGGTTCACCTGCAGGGGTGACCCAAGAAAGGGTGCATTCCTGAGCATTTGAGGAGAAGTGGAGGATGGAAGCTGAGGGGGTTGGATTTGGGGATACTGACGGAGTGGGGACTTTGGGGCGGTAAGGTGGGAATGAGTTAATATATGAAAAAGCACTTGGAACAGAGTCCACCTGGCGGTTCATATGAGGAGGGTTTTCTATGTCTTTTGTCCCCTAACACTAGCATCTGGAACCTCCAAATTCTGTGAGCTTTGGACCTATCCTAGGACCACATGGAGCCACTGGCATATCCGAAATTTCTCCTCAGGGAATGTTTAGAGGCATTGTTCTGGTTGGCAGGTCACTCCATGCACTAACCCAGAGTCTTTTTATTTTTTAATTATTTTGTATTTATTTATTTTAGCCAGGAGTCTTGTTACCAATACCCATACGTGACCTCATGCAAAATTCAGAAGTCTTCCTCTCAGGAATCTAGATAAGTGATTCTACTAAGGAACCTCCAGTCCATTAGAGAGCCTTCAGCTAGGACCCCAGTGTCCTTTCCCCAATTACCAAGAGCCTCCACCAAGAGCTTCCAGATCATATGATATCTTCTCTCCTCCCAATCCATGATTTCCTTTTTTTTTTTTTTTTTTTTTTTTTTCCCCCCCCCAACCCTTTTTTTCTTTTTTTTTTTTTTTTTTTTTTTGCGTCCACCCACCAAGGAGGTTACCAACCCACATTTTACTCTCATTCACCACCTCCACCCTGGTCCGATCATCATCTCCTGCCCGGACAATGGCAGTGACCTCCTCACTGGTCTCCTGGTGCATCCTTCACAAGCCCCATAGTCTGTTCCCCACATGGCAGCCACAGGGATCCTGTTAACACCCAAGTGATATTTCATCCCTCCTCTGCACACAATCTTCCCTTGGCTTCCACCTCACACAGAATAAAAGACCAAGTTGTTGCAAGAGCCCATATGGCCGTATACAACCCACCCCATGGTCTCTCCTCCTCTGTACCACAGTCTCTCCTTTTCAGCCTGGCTTCTTGCTATTCCTCTAACGTGCCTGTGAGATTCCCCTCTTAGGCATTTGCTGTTCCCTCTGCCTGAAATGCTCTTCTCTCAGATGTACACATGGCTCTCTCCCTCATCTCTTTTAAGACTTGGCTCAAGTTTCATCTTCTCAGAGAGGTGCTCCTACTTAAAACTATGCTCTCAGACATCCTGATGCCACTTTCCTGATCCGTTTTTTCCTCCTTAGCATGTATCACCTTCGAACATACTACATAATAACTTCTATTTATTGCTGATCTTTCTCCACTAGAACATAAGTACCGTGAGAACAAGAATTTTGTCTATCTTGGTCACTGATGTGTCCTCAGTGCCTTAAGCAAGGTCTGGTACATAATAACAAAACATTCCTTAATCGACGAAGAAACCCAGGAATGTCAGGTCCTTGGGAGATGGGGGCTCATTTGATGAGAGTATAAATCTGGTGCCCTGTGGATTTGAAGGTGCTAGATACCTGGGTTGGGGTGCTGGTTGCTGGGGAGCCATAAGAGCACTTGGGGAACTCCTGACTCCTGAGTGGCAGGGTGAGTTCCCAAAAGGTGTGTGGAGGGGAGTACGGAGCATCTTGGGCTCATGCATCGGGTCCTAGCATCCTGTACTTCTGAGCTTTCCATATATTAGCCCATTTGATCCTCCCTACAGTCAGATGAGTTCAATCTTTTTGTCATCCTGATTTCACAGATGAAGAAATTAAGGCCCAGAGAGTTTAAATAATTTGCCTAAGGTCATACACATAACAGGTGGTCAACCTGGGACTTGAACTCAGGCCATCAGGTTCCAGAGTCCATTGTCTCTCTAGAGTGGTGCTGAGGAGTGGCTTAGTATATCCATAACCTCATAGGTTTGCTCCCTCTAGCAACCCTGATTAAACATATTCTAGTCCCCACATCCTTCCAGAGTAATGCCTCCAAACCTTCCCTGAGGAGAAATTTCACACATGCCAGTGGCTGCATGTGGTCCAAGGATAAGTCCAACGCTCACAGAATGTAGAGGTTCCAGTTGTCAGTGTTAGGGGACAATAAACATGGCAAACACTCCTCAGATGACACTTACCATGAGGTGGACTCTGTTTCAAGTGCTTTTTGTATGTTAACTCATTCCCACTTCACAGGAACCTGTTAACATAGGTGCTAGAAATCCATGATCCCTTAGCCACAATCCCCAAATGCAAAAGTGGCCTGAAGACTAAGATGTTTTGTGTATTTGATGTTAAAAAAGTAATTGGCAGCAAAAGCTGACCTGAACTCATGGTATGGCTGCTTAAAGTCTTATTTATTCCATTTAGTGTGAATATTCAGACATTTCACTGCAGAGATACTAATGCTTGTAATTATGTAACACCTATTGGGATTATTATATAATATATGGCATTTGCATGGGATGACCCCTTGAAATTCTAAAATCTGAAATGCACCGGGCCCCAAGCATTTTGGATAAGAGACTGTGGACCTATATAATTGCCTCCACTGTAGAATTGACAAAAATGAGGGACAGAGAAGGATACAGTTTTCCAGGATTCCATACATAATGATTCTTACCTGGACAAAGCCGAACTCATGCTTGACAGCAGTGATAGTGACACCAAAGATGCGCATCGTGACAAAGTGCATGGGCTGCCTCTCTCCAGAGCTGGCGATCCACAGCTGGAAGGCAGGGAGGCCACTGGGGAGGGCCTGAGGGCAATGGCTCAGTATGTAGGAACAGCCTCCAGACACAGGGAAAGAGTAGCCATCGAAAGTGTAGATGTATGGTAGCCCGGAAGCCCAGCAGGTACCCCCTGTGATGTCCCCCTGCCCCTTACTAGAGACACCCACTGTCTCCGACTTGGCCTCAGACACCATTTTGGACCCAGCCACAGTTTCAAGTTCCTGCTTTGCCATAGTCACAGCCTCTAAGCCTGGTTCAGTCACTGCCACCACCTTGAGCCCCAGCTTGGCTGCTGAGATGGTTTCTGACCCAGCCTTAGACACTGTCTTGGGTTTGGACTCTGGTTCAGCTGTGGGCACGGGCAGGGGGAAAGGTGCAGGTGCTGGTTCAGTCACAACCAGGGTCTCAGGAATTGGTTCTTTTAGAGCGAGAGGTTCAAGTTCTGGTTTAACCAAAGCTAAAGGTTGAGGCTCAAGTTCATTCATGGCCACAGATACAAGCCCTGGTTCTGCTTCAGGTGTGCTCTCTGATCCCGGTTTGGCCACTGCCGTGGTTTTAGAGCTGGAGATGGACACTGTATTAGAGTCCTTCAGAGATATTGTCTTGGGACTGAACATGATCTCAGTGGCCTGGGTGCTGGCCACACACTCAGGTTTGTGCTTCACAAGGTGACATGTGGTCCCACTGGTGCATACATGGTCCTTACAGGATCCTGGGAAGTGGAGTGGCATCACAAGGGAAGATTCTAGGAGGGGATAGAATTCTGTAGGAGGGTTCAGATCTTCCTCAGTCAGAATATCTGGAGATGAGATGAGATGAAATGATGCAACAGAACTAGATCCTGGCATTTGGTCCCATCCCTTTCCTGCCTGCATGCCCTAGGCCTCCAGGGTTGATGGTGACTCAACATTCATAAGCTAGCAGGTTCCCAATCTAAAATGAAGTGGGCCTATATCGTCGGAAAGAAAAAGGTGGGGCTGAAGGACAATACACAAATGGTCAGCACAGTGTGGGTATACAAGAGGGTTGTATGAGCTGGAGAACACAGACTCCATCTAAGGACACCAATCAGTTATTAACAAAATCTATGTGCCAGTAAGTCTAAACACAACTGTGGGTTGATTTTGGTCAGTGAGGACTTCCAGCTTGCCATGTTAAGCAGCCTTAAAAATGTGTGTGTGTGTGTGTGTGTGTGTTCTGTTGGGATCTAGCCGCCCCATTTCCCAGGGAGGGGAGTTATTTTTTTCCTAGCTGTTGACGCATGATACTAGACACCTACAAAGTAAACTTTTAAGAAATAACTTTGTTCTGTAAGGGTTTGCATATTTTCATCAAAACATAATACAGACTTTGGGGATGGATTAGAATATGAACTAAAGTATCAGCTCCTTTTGGTAGGAATATTTCTATGTTGTACATTGTTGCATCTCCAGTACCCAGAACAGGCCTAGCCTGAAGTAAATCTAAAATACATTGTTGAAAATTCATGATAGCAAATGTTTACTGCATGCCAGGCACTCTTCAACCTTCAACTGCTTCCTCTATAAAATGGGGATAACAGAGGCTCCTGGGTGGCTCAGTCAGTTTAGCATCCAGCTCTTGGTTTCAGCTCAGGTCATGACCTCATGGGTCCTAGGATCTAGCCCCACAGTGGGCTCCTCTTGGCAGGGAGTCTGCTTGAAGATTCTCTCCCTCTGCCCTTCCCCCCACTCTCTCTCCCTTTCTCAAATAAATAAATAAATAAATCTTTTTTATTTTTTTATTTTATTTTTTTAAATTTGATGATTTTTTAAAAAGATTTTATTTATTTATTCGACAGATAGCACAAGCAGGCAGAGTGGCAGGCAGAGGGAGAGGGAGAAGCAGGCTCTCCGCCGAGCAGGGAGCCGGACGTGGGGCTCGATCCCAGGGCCCTGGGATCACGACCTGAGCCGAAGGCAGCCGCTTAACCGACTGAGCCACCCAGGCTCCCCAAATAAATCTTTTTTAAAAATGGGGATAATAAAGAGACCTGCCTCCAGAGTGGCTGTGAGGAATACATTGTATAATGTACATACATTATATATAAGAGCATTTACTGCTTAGCTCATAAGTCTAGACTATAAGTCTGCATAAAGCAGTACAAAATAAAAAAATACAAAAAGGTGGTTAAAAACTTGTGCTCTGGAAGCAAGTAGACTTGGGTTAAAATCGTGGCTCTGCCACTTCCTAGCTGTGCAAACTTGCCGAAAGATTTAACCTCCAGCCCTTCCCCTCCCCAGAAAAAAAGGAATTATTACAATACTGTTCTACAGTCAACCTCAAAGACTAGCGGGAAGGTCAAGCACCCATTATTTTATCCCTTCCCCTGACCCCACCATTTACAATGTACACTGTAGTAAAGAAAAAGAACATGTGACCTTCAACAGTAGCTTCCTTTTTGAGCCCAGTGCCTGGCATATGATTTGGTGCACATTTAACAACTTATAACCATTATTATTCATTCCACAAATATTTACTAAGGGTTGGACACTGTCCTACCTAAAAATCGTACAATTAACTGTGTATCTTAGAACTTACTTAAATTTTTTTAAAAAAAGCATTGACTTCAAGGAACTGATGGGAGACAGAGAAAGAGACTAAGTATATAGAAAGTGATATGAGCTGGAAAAAAATCAGGGAAGGGCTGGAGTTTGTCAGGGATGGGGAATTGCGATTTTAAATTGAGTGGTCACTTTGGCCTCGGTAAGAAGGTGGCATTTGAGCAAAGACTCGAAGGAGATGAGGGTGAGATCCATAAAGATATCATGGGGATGGTCAGTGTTAAAGGCTCTGAGCAGGGAGAAGAAAGTAAGGTGGCTTGTGTGGCTGGACTGGAGTGAGTGAAGGGCAAGAGTAACAGATGAGATCAGAGAGGTAATGGGAACAGATTGTATGGGGCCTCATAAAACACCGTAAGTACTGGGGCGCCTGGGTGGCTCAATTGGTTAAGCATCTGCCTTCTGCTCAGGTCATGTTCCCGGAGTCCTGGGATTGAGCCCCACGTCCGGGCTCTCTGCTCGGCGGGGAGTCTGCTTCTCCCTCTGCTCCTGTTCTCTCTCTCTCTCAAATAATAAAATCTTAAAAAAAAAAAAAAACCCACACAACACTGTAAGTACTGTGCTTTTTCTGGGTGTAATAATAATCGCATGGAAAGATTTTTTGAGTGGAGGAGGGAGTGATTTGCATGAAAACAACAACAACAACAACCCTGCCCCTCCCCTCGGGCGGCTATGTGAGCAATTGAAGGTAGTGTTATGATTTTCCCCGTCCCTGATCTCCTGGAATCCCATCGTCTGCTCAACTTCCCACTGTCTTGGGCCCCAGTGCTGCTCACCCACTCTTGGCTGCCCCATGGCCTGGGTCCCGAAGCCCGCGCCAGGGGCGGTGCCGAAGCTGAGCACGCCCACCGGCAGCCCGCGAGTCTCCAGGAAGTGCACCACTCCGGGCTCAGGTCCATATGCCACCTCGGTCCAGACGAAACCCGGAGCGGCGGCCTGGCTTTCACCAGAATGCTGCCCGTGACGCGGTTCCGGGCCGCCGGGGATTAGGCGCCAGTGCAGGTTGGGCAGCGGCTGCTGATCAAGGAGCACCGGGGTGGGCTCGCGCGCCAGCAGCACCGCCACGTTGGAAAAGCCCGGCTGCGCTGTGAGCGCAAAGCTGCGGCTGAACGCGTCCACGGGAGGCAAGAGAGCGAAGAAGGGCTTGTAGGCGACGCCCCCGCGGGCCGCAGCTGCGGCCAGGAAAAGCACCTGCAGGCCGGCAGAGGAGCGCAGCACCAGGGGGCGCACTGGGTCCACCGCGAAGTGCAGCACGACTCCACTGCGCAGAGCCTGCGCCCCTTCGGCGCCGCCCCCCCAGAAGCTCAGGCTGCCCAGGCTGTCCGCCACCACGTACACGTGGTCTTTGGGTCCGGGAGCCGCGGGCGCGAACGGGGGTACGGCGTAGACGCGGCCCCAGTAATCCTGGGGCAGGAGTTGTTCGGACACGTGGCCACAGGTCTTATTTCTCGCTTGCAGGCAACTGTGGCCAGCCAGCAGCGCGACGGGATGAGTGGCCACGACGCGGGTGCCCGACAGGTCGCCTGTGCTCTGCACCTGCAGCGCCTGGAAAGGCTCAAGGCGCACGAGGAGGGGACGGCCGGCAGCATGCTCGACGCCATCCAGCAGGATGGGCACCGGCGGCGTGAGGCGTAGGCGCGTGGGCGAAGCGCCGGCCACCACCGCAAACTCCTTGTGCCGGTCGTGGGGCTGCAGCGACGGCGTCACCACCACGTAGCGCGTGCCCAGCAGGCGGCGCGGAAGCGCTAGGGCCGTGTCTAGGGAGGTGCGCCCACGCGCGTTCACCACGGTCACTCCCACCGGTCGCGACGCGGCTAAGCGCACCGCGCCCCCCGCCGCCCGCCGCGAGCCCCGCAGCTCCACAGCGCTGGGCAGGCGCACCAAGGCAGTGGTGCCTGGCTGCAGGCTCAGCGCGCGCCGAAAGGCCTGCCCCCCCACCGGCTGCGCCCTCACTTGCACCGCCGTCGGGGGCCCCTTGGTCGGTGGCGACACGTACAGGCGGAAGCTGGGCTTCTCAGCGCCCCCATTCTCCAAGAAAGCTGTGATGAAGTAACGGCCCTGGAAATCCACAAATGCAACCGTTGGGCCTGAGGGAACCCAAGGGGAAAGGAGGGAGTCAGCGTAATCTGTTGGACTTTGAGGTCAAATACATCAGGTTTTAATCCTGACCGCCATGCTCTAGCCATGTCAACGTGGGCAAGGTACCACCTTTGGGCCTCAGTTTCCTCATCTGTCAAAAGGGAGTGTTGGCAGAGCTATGAGAATATTAGATGAGATAATATATGTAAAGGCCATGGAACAATATCTGGTAAATATTAACTTTAAAAAAAGCTGCTGCCTTTGGACCATCTGTCCCAGAAAGGCCTGCTCAGCCCCCTTCCCACAACCGGTTTGGCCAATTCCCTGCCACAGAGTCTACCCAAACAGTCCCTGGATCCAGCGGGCCAGGGCCCTGTCCCAAGAAGCTCCACCATGGCTAGTCCCCTGTTACAGAACCATGCCAGGCAGCCCCAAACCCCAGACAGGACAACCAGTCCCCTGCTGCAGATCCAGAGCAGCTCACCAGTCTTCTGCATCCCCCATGGATCACTTACCCCACAGGCAGCCCAGGGCACCAAGGCACAGCAGGGCAGAGGAGAGGGCAGCCATGGCCGGGGAGAGGGTGGACAGTTACGGTCTAGTGAAGTCTCTCGGTGCCAGTCTGCCTCCAGCCCTTGCACTGCAGGAGCAGAAGGGGGCACAGGGGGAATCCCAGAGAAGGGCTCAGTCCTCAGAGCCCAGGCAAAAAGGCAAGGCTGCAGGTCTCACCTGCAGGAGCTGGGCTGAGGCCACAGTGCGGGGGTATTTATAGTCCCAGATGCCTGAGCCCAGACCTCCCATCAGCACACCGGATGTCCCCATTAGCACTGGTTCCAATCTGACCTGGTGCCATTGATTGTAATGAGGCCTAATTATGTGGGTGGGGGCAGGGAGATGGGAGAGATGGAGAGACAGAGGGGGAGCGACACAGAGAGAAGAAGGGAGGGACAGATATGGGGAAGTGAACTAGGAGATCAAAGGGGGCAGGGCAAGAATACCATGGTTTCCAAGAAAAGTGGGACAGGACTCCTGAGCCTGCCAAGGGCAGAGAGGCTTCAGGCTTGAACTTTAGGTGTCCTAGGAAGGAGGGGGCCAGGAGCCTGGACTCCTGGATTCTGAGGAAGGAGGGAAATAGATACTGGACTTCTGTGTCTCAGGGAGGAGGGGACTGGGGACCTGAACTCCTAGGTCGTGGAAGTGACAGAGGCAGGAGAGGGAGGACACGATGTGCTGGATGTGCAGGTCTGGAGGATATGGGGTGGAGCTGCCCAAGGAAGGACAATGGCTTCCACATGACTCCCCTCCTTCCAGAACGTCCTGAGCTGGAGAACAATGGGGTTGCACCCTACATGGAGGATCCGGGACGAAGGACGGGCTGGCTCTCCAGACAAGGAAAGGCCTTGGATTCAGTTTCCAGCCCCTTCTCTCCCAGGTCCTAGGAGCCTGCACCGCTAGCCCCTCTCTCCCCCCAGAACGCTTGCCTTTGGTAGGGAGGGTAGAGGGAGAATTCAAGAAGGAATTCTTTCAATAGCTTCATTTCTCACCTGCTTAAGATCCTCCTCTGCTCTTCAACACAAGCAGAGGAGGTGAAGGAAGGCTCCCCCCAGGGCACAGGGAACAATGTGGGGGTGTAAAAGGGTGGGCTTTTCAGGGAGTACTTCCTTCCTTCCCGCCTGAGGTGGGGAACATATATGCTAGAGGTGGAGCTGGGGCAGGTGGGGAGGGGCAAGGCCTCTACTGCCAGGCTGAGTAGCTGGAACTTTGTCCCAGGAACCCAGGAGAGCCATGGAGGGTTCTATGCAGGGGAGGGTCAGGTTTGGCTTTATGGAAGATTCCCTGGACCAGAGTGGGAGACTGAAGCCAGGACCCCAGGGGGAGGAGATGCAGGGACCCAGGTGGGTGAGGCAGGAGCTAGAACAGGGTGGAGCCAGAGAAGGGAGGAAGGCTAGGTGGGAGGGCTGCCAGGAGGCTGAGTGGAGGCTTGCCCTGAGAGGGCCGGGGGAAGAGGGGCAGGTTTGGGAAGAAGCTAAGGCCAGTGTGGGACCCGGTGGATGTGAGAGGCCTGGGGGCTGTCCAGGAAGCCGAGGGAAGCCAGGTTTAGAGGAGGGGCCAGCACTGGGGACAGAGATGTGGGGGTCTTCGGCAGAGAAGGAAAACAGGAGCATGGGGGCGTGTGGAGAGGTGCCACCCCAGAAGGAGGTGAGTGGAGAAGCAGGAAGGGGGTCAGTTCCCAGCCCCGGGGGTGGGGGTGGGGGTGGAGGGTCCACAGCGTTTAGGGCTATGGATGAAGAGGAATTTCCAAAAGATCTGATGTTTTATCCGGAGGACTGGGGAGAGGGAATTGCCCTCCAGGGGTTCCACAGAGTTGAAGCCAGAATATACCCAGAATAAAGTCCTTTGAAGTCTTACATTTTATACTCTAAATTCTTGCCAATTTTGCATTCACTTTCATCAGTCTATCCATGTGAGTTCTCATATAAAGATTTTCAAGTACCTACCAGTGACACCCATTAACCTACCCTTGTGCACCCCACTCCCCAACAGTGAAAATCTTCAAGTGAAAATGAAGCTCTGGATTCAGCCTGTGGCTTTGGGTCTCCCCGGCCAGTCTCCTGGTGCATTGGGTGACTGTCACCCAAGTATTCAAGGCTCTTCATAAGCCTGCATCACAGTGACCAGACACTCTGACCCTTTCCACAGGCAGCCCAGCCTCCCACCCCGACCTTGTTCTTTGTCATGTGACACTAGCCACCCTCCCCACCATAGACAGATGGATCTTTCTGAAGTCCAAACCTGACCCCGACCCTCCGCCATGGTTCCTTAGTGCCTCTGGAATGGTGTCACTGCTCGCCAGCCTGGCAGCTGACATCCACCCGCTTCTTGAGCTCACCCCTCACTATCCGCCATCTTCCGCTCTGTGCTCCAGCGACACAGAACTTCAGCCAGCTCTTCAAGAGTACAGTCCTCTCCCTTTTCTTGTGTTTTGCACACAGTATTCTCTGTCCTTGGAAGACCCTCTCTTCTCCTGGCTCTTTTTGTATATCCCACACGTGTGCAGGGCCCAGTGTGAAATGAAAATGTGGAGTCCTTTGTTCAAAAATTATTAAGAATTTCATGAGGGCGACAGCAGGGCATTCAACCAAGCACAGGGCCCTTCCAGATGTGAGGTGCTGTGGTGGGACGCACAGGTCACACTGCCATGAAGCTGGCCCCACATTCAGGCCACCTCCCAAGCCAGGCTCAGTGAGGAGCCCGTTCTGGGCTCCCAAAGTCCCTTGCGCTTAGACAGGCCCTAATCAGTCTTCCCTGCGCTTCCCCTGTCCCAGCCCTCTCCACTTTGGGGTGCCATTGTTTAGCGAACATGTATTTCCTCCATGGGCCTGGAGCTCTGTGAAGGTGGGGTCTGGGGCTGGGTTGGTCCCCCCCACCCCCGGGTTCCCAGCATCGCTCTGTACGGGTCAGGGCAGCACCAAGCACAGATGCCCATCCTTGTTTTTGTGAAGCATATAGGGGCACAGGCACCAGGGAGGAATCAAAGGCAGAGGCCACGCTCAGGTTCAACCCGGAAGAGAAACATCCCTTTTCCGAGGACCCCTTTATTGGAATCCCCCCAGCACGTGCCCACAGAACGAGCTGTGAAAGCTTGGCATTAGCTGAGGCCTGGCAAGGAAGGGACCCCAGATGCGGAGACACTGGGGGCCTGTGTTATCTTTGCCGCTGACCCAGACACATAGGTTGGATGTGGCAGCATGCAGACAAGGGAGCGTCCTGGTATGAGGACTATAGTTACCTCAAGAAAACGCTCCAGGAGCCTGGAACTTTGGTTCCAGGAAACCTGGTCTCAAAAATGTGCAAGGGCCGGGCGCGGTGGCGTGCGCCTGTAGTCCCAGCTACTGGGGAGGCTGAGGCAGGAGGATCGCTTGAGCCCAGGAGTTCTGGGCTGTAGGGTGCTATGCCGATCGGGTGTCCGCACTAAGTTTGGCATCAATATGGTGACCTCCCGGGAGCGGGGGACCACCAGGTTGCCTAAGGAGGGGTGACCCGGCCCAGGTCGGAAACGGAGCAGGTCAAAAATGTGCAAGGCATTCTCAAAGCCACACAGGGGATGGGCCATGGGAGGAGGAGGAGCATTCCCTGGGCTCAGGAAATTGGTGGACTCAGCTGGGCAGTGTTGGACAAGCTACATTTTAACTTTAAATTCCAGATACATGTGATCATTTGTCCATAGTAGTATTGTTCCTGCATGGGGGTGGGGGATGACCCAGGCACCCTGTTGGGGAGGCAGAGGGGGGCCATGCTAGAGGAACTAGTCTGCCCCCATCTCTCTCCTCCCACACTCTTTGCTTCCAAATGTATAATTAGCTACCGCTGGGTGTGTATCCCCCTTCCAGGCCTGCATTTCCTGGAAGGAAATTCCCCCCAACCAGTCATGGTCTCTGCCTTGCAGAGCCAACGTCCACGGTCGGCCTGGTACTTGAACCTGGAGAAAGTTCTTAATTCTTATGCTACAGAGAGGTCAGCTTCCTCATCTGAAGGATGGATCCTTGGATATCAGACACGTGGGTCCCACAGCTCTTTTTTCCAGTCTCTGCAAGCTTGCCTGAGAGCCAGATCATCGGATAGTGGTCCACACTGTCCTCCTTTGCACAGGGGACAGAGGCCCCTGGTGAGGTAGTCTCAAATCTCTCTCCAGTCCATCCACTCCAGGCCCCAACCTCGTTTGGGTCAGCGTTCTGCCTGGACCATTGCAGTAGCCCCTTCCTTGGTCTCCCTTCTCCACTTCTGTCCCCCACATGCAAACAGACCTACCACTGGAGCTTCCTGAAGGAAGCTTCTCCTCCCTGTTCAAAACCTCCAGTGGCTTCTCATGCCACTTATAATAAAACCCAGACTCTTCCCGGCAGGCTACAGTGTCCTGCATTATCTTTCCCACCTCCCAGCCTCAACACAGCATCATTCCCTCACCCTGCCTCAGCAGCCCCCTTCAGGCCCTGTTACTCCTCATGCACCCCCCAGCCCCTACACTTCTGCACATGCTGTTCCATTTGTATGGGATGCCCTTTCCACCCCCAGTGCAATTAACTCCAACCTGAGCATCCTTCAGATCTCAGCTGAGTAGTCACTTCCTCCAGGAAGCCTCTCTTAACCTCAATTCCTGGGTCACATCTCCTGGTTATAGGGTCTCACGATTCCATGGATCTCTCCTGCATGCCCCACCCCGCCCCTCGCCTCACCACAGATGCTTTACACTGGCTTGTGTGATGATTTCACATGTTTCCCCACCAAATGGTGAGATATGCGAGGGCAGGACCTGTGCCTGTATTTGCTCAGTATTGAATTCCCAGTATGCTGCACATGCAGGCTCACAATAAATTATTCAAATTTAAAAAGAAGGGTTGAGGGGGGCGCCTGGGTGGCTCAGTCGGTTAAGCGTCTGCCTTCGGCTCAGGTCATGATCCCAGGGTCCTGGGATCGAGCCCCGCATCAGGCTCCCTGCTCCGCGGGAAGCCTGCTTCTCCCTCTCCCACTCCCCCTGCTTGTGTTCCCTCTCTCGCTGTGTCTCTCTCTGTCAAATAAATAAATAAAATTTAAACAAATAATAAAATACTATGAATCTTAAAAAAAGGGGTTGAGGAATGGTGCACTCTGGCTCCCCCTCGTGGCAGCAACTGGGTATTTTGTAGTTGGCACTAGACCTCCAATCTTCCCACTCCCTAGGCCCCCTTGGCCAAGACACCTCACTCACCCTGATAGCTTCACCTGACCTCAGCCACCAAGGGTAACAAACAAGAAGGACCTCATTATGCTTCTGGAGGACTCAGGAGTCAGACCAGGTCCCTGGGACTCAGATTGTTCCCATGGCTGGTGGAAGATCATTTTCAAAGCCTACACCCACCAAGAAAACCATTGTAGAATCTAGGATGTTATCCCACGAGGACAAGGTCATGCGCACCAGGTCTTGAGAATGGCCAGTCCAGTCTTGGGCCCTCTTCACCATGCTCCTCACATCAGCATCATTCCAGAAAACACTCACAGGACTTCACTCCCTCTCCCCCACCTCCATCTTCTCTGCCTCTGGACCCACCACCAGAGGAGGCCTGGGGTCAGGGAACACTATCCCATTCCTGGATCTCCAATGAGGCGTGATGTTACCAAGACCCAGGGTTTGGTCTTCCAAACCTCCAGGTCTGGTGTCTGAGGGGGGCCCAAGGCAGTCCAAGACAGAGTGAGGACCAGCCTTGCAGAGACACAGGGCTGATAGGTCCAGATCAACCTGAGCCAGGTCGGAGGTCCACAGAATCACAGGGTTTACGTTCCCTAACTATACTTTCTTACTCCCACTCTCAAATCAGCTGAATCTGGCACTTGCCCAACCAATCCCCTAACACCGCTCTCACTGAGGTCACTATGGCCTGATATCATTAAACACAGTAATAGTCACTTGGGTCTGACTTGCCTGGTTTGCTTCACTCTGTCCCTCCATCTGCTGTTCCTATTTAGTCTTTGTCAGGTTTTTCTTTGCCTATCCCTTAAATATGGAAAGTCCCAGAGGCTGTCTCATCACCCCAGTGGCCTCATTCCCCATCTCTGCTGACATAGCCTTTTGGTCCCCAGCTCCAGCCTCAGACCAGGGTCCTGAGGCCTCCTGGCCACCACCCCCTAGATGTCTTCTGGGGCCTCCCACATCCACCAAGTCCCCCCATTGGCCTCAGCATATTCCCCAAACCTGTGCCTTCTTCCTGGTTCTGTATCAGGTGGCTCCACTGTCCCCTCCCTTGGCCAGAGCCCTGGGCCTCACCCTGGATGCTTCCCTCCCCCACAGCCCTTCAGCTCCACAATCTGTCCATTCAGCTTCCTCTCTCACCTACCCCCTACTCCTTTCCCCCAGCCCTGCCCTGGTCCGGTCTTATCCTTAGCCACCTGGGTCCCTGCCTTGGCTTCCCCCAGGCTCCCAGCTTCAGTCTTCCCCTCTGGTCCATCCTCTTCATGACAGCTAGAAAGAGCTTCCTAAAGCCCATTCCTGACCCTGTCCCTCCCCTGCATAGAATCCTCCAAGGCTCCCGAGTACTATCAAACCAGAGCTGAGTTCCTCAGCCTGGAGGTCCTGGACCCTGCTCACCCCTCCTGCCTTACCTCTACCACAGTATCCCCAGTGTCTCGCCTTTACTAAGTCCTTGCTTGTGCTGGGCCCTCTACCTGGGACAACTGTCCCTTTGCTCTTTGCCCAATTACCTCCTTCTGATGTCATGCTCAGATCTCATCTTTCCTCCAGGAAGCCTCCCTGACCACACCCTAGGCTGAGTCAGGCACCTTTCCTGGGCTCCCGCAATCACTTAGGCTTCCCCCATCACCACATCTCTGCTCACTCTGAACTGCCACTCTCTGAGCAGGGACTGGGGCCATTCTGGGTCATGGCAGCATCACCCAGCACAGGGCACACCCAGGGGGCATGCTCACGGAATTCTGTGGACTGAATAGATGACCGTCCTGTCTCTTCCAGGAACCTCGGACGGAATGGAGTGGGGTGGGGGTCTCTCCCCAGAGGAGGCATTCTGAACTCCAGACCCCTGCATGATCCCCCCCAACCCCCACAGACAGAGACAAGGGCAAGGGCCTAGGCCCAAGCTTAGAAAAATAGGACTTTCTTGTTGTGCCCCGGTGCCCCCGACACCCTCCCCATCAGAGTTTTAAAAACCGTGAGCAATTTGGTGAGTCTGAGGCCAGGTCCCACCGGGTGCCTGGGTCCTCCCACCCCTGGGGCCAGAAGGGCCGGAAGGTGGGCGCAAGGCTAGGGTCCCGTGGGTTCGTGGCTGGGCCTCCAGGGCTCACAGTCCAGCTGGACCACGGTGTGGGCCCTGGGCGCCGCGGGCTCAGGGGCGGGCGGGGCCGGTGTGGGGCCCAGGGTGCCGTTGGTCTGCGAACAAACGCTGCTGACGGGGGCGGGTGCCTTGGCCTTGCCGGGGGGCTGGCCGCCGTGCACCTTGTAGCGCATAAGCAGCACGAAGATGAAGACCAGTACCGAGGCCACGATGACTCCACCAAGGGCGATGATCATGGTGCCGCCCAGGAAGGGTGCGTGCGGGGCCCCGCAGGGCCGCAGCGCTGGCTCGGTGGAGAAGCGGGCACAGCCCACGGGCCGCGTGGCCGTCAGCCCTGTGGCGCCGTCCTCGAACACCGCCAGCACGCACAGATCGTAGGTGCGGCCCGACGCCAGGTCCGACAACAAGAAAGAGCGGCTGTCGGCGGGGATCATCCTGGAGGGACAGGCAGGCGGGGGGTCAGGTCTCTGGCTGCCCAGCACCCACCCTGCACTGTGCCCCAACCCTCCGGTCCGATTTCCCCCCAAGCCCGCTGTTAGCCCAAGTCCCTTCCCACCGCGGCTCAAATTCCCTTTGGTCTAATATGGGGCCAGGCCTCCTGACTGATAACCCATGGATCATCTTAGGTTGCTGGCACCTGCCGCTCAAATCCCCCAGTTTAATCTCCCTCTAGCCCCAGTGCCCAGATTCCCTCACAGCTCCTCTGTTTTGGCTCTGCGGTTTCACCATGGCCTCAGGGCCCAGCTACCCTGCAATGCAACTTTCCCTCCATCCCCAGCTCCGGGTCTCCCTCTAGACCCTCGCCCAACTCCCCAGGCTCCCCTCCCTGCCTCTCCTCCAGTTGGGGCCTGATTTCCCTTTACCAGCTGCCCCACGCTCCTCCAGCGTACAGCTAGAACTCTCTCGTCTACCCGCCTGATTCCCCCATACTGCTGCCTGATTTCCTTCTAACCTGCCAATGAACGTCCCCCTAGCCCCATTGCCTTATCATCATTATTGTATCTACAGCACGCTTTCCAGTGAGCTGGTCTCTGTTCTCGGGGAAACTGATGTGCCTCAGCCATCACAGCTGATTTTTTTCTCCCTCTTGCCTTATTTCTTCCAGCTCCGGCTCTCAATTCCCTTTTTATCTCTGTTGCCTGTTTTTTTTCCTTACCTTTCCCATTTCCTTTTATCCTTAGCACCCAGTTCTACTCTATTTCCTTTTGCAGCAGAGCACCCTGTTGGAGATTTAACTTATTTTATAATCTGTCTTATTCCTAAACTGCTTTAATGTGGGAGTTACAGGGAACCCCGTGATTGTCTCTGAGAGGGTGACTATCTAGGAGAGCATTTGTCTCATCCCCTGCCAGGCAAGGTGGGCAGGATTTGTGGGATTTCTGGGTGTGGGCCCTCCATGGAGCCAACTGCCCCTCCAGGGACTACGGCCATCTGAGAAAGGGAACAGAATAAGCTCGCTAGATTTCCAGGACTGAAAAGGAAATCAATTGACGACCTCTTGAGATGTGGGCCCCTGGGGAAGGAAAAGGGACCCAGGTACTGGGTTTATAAGGTTAAGGTGCACACTCCAGGCGTTGGGAGGCCCGACTCTGCAGCCGGGCCTCGGGGACGGCACCTTTGGCCCAGCCTGGCAGTGAGAAGAGGGAACCATCCACAGCCACCCATGCAAGGTTAGACTCGGGTGAGAAGTGTCAGCAGCCTCTGGGTCAGAGCCACCACTCCTGACCACATGTGGCCGGCCACAGCAGACGTTCCAAATGCTCTCCAGCTCGGGAGCGGGAGGATGTCCTGATCCACCTCTTGGAGTGTAGAAGCCCCAGATTTTCTTCTATCGCTTGCAACAATTAAATAGAGAAGGGGATCCCCAACAGTGGGCAAAGCGAATGTTCCCGTTCACCTAGCAGGTGGAGCATGAACTAGGTTGAATTTGATTTAGGAAACCACAAATTGAGATGTCACCGTATTAGAACTCGAAACATCTGGAGCAGTTCACACTGCACAGACCCAAAGCCTGATCTCTGTTTTGCCTCCTCCCTCATTTCATTTTCCCCACGAACTCTGTACCTTCCGGTTTGATCTCCTTTTCTTCTTGCAACTTGGCTTATATCTAGTCCTGTCCTCTGGAAACACCTGGTTCCTCTTTACCTTTATATTCAGTTTGTTTGTACCCTTCCAACCTTGCTCCCCCACCGCCCCGCCCCGCCGATTAACTTTTTATTCTTCTGGCCTGATTACTTTTTACTCTTGCTGCCTGATTTCTGTATTGACTTTTGCTGCCTTATTTCTTTTTATCACTACTGCCAGATTTCTTTTACCTTCTCTGCCTGATTTCTTTTACCTTTGCTGTTTGATTTCCTTTGTAACCATTTCAGCCTCATTTCTCAGCTGTGCTGCAGCCTGGGGTGTCAACAGATGTAGCTCCAGCCCTCCCTCCACCTCAGTCTGCCACCCACTCTGGGCCCTGCACCTGTAGACGAGGATGTCGTCGGCTGAGCTGTTGTACTGGATCTGGTACATGCGGATGCCTGGGATAGGCCGCTGATCCGGCCACTGGACAAGAGCAGCTGTGGCCCCATGCTCAGTCACCTGGACACCACGGTCGGTAGGGGGCCCAGTGTCAGCTGCCTTGGCGGAGGCCGAGGCCGAGGCGGCAGAGGGCGGGGTGAGGGCATCAGGATCCCCGTCCCGCGGGGGGTCACAGCTGGTGCTGTTGGCTAGCTGGGGAGGTGGGGGGGGACCCACGGTCAGCTCAACAGCCGCGGTGGCCTCACCAGCCGCATTGGCCGCAATGCAAGTGAAAATGCCACCATCGCCCGGCTCAGTGACCAGCAGCTCCAACGTCCCGTTAGGGAAGGCGCGAGCGCGGCTTGAATTGCCCACCAGCCGGCCCTGGGGTGACACCCAACGCACGCGAGGCTCGGGGTCCCCCACTGCCCGGCAGCGCAGGGCAGCCGGCCGGCCCGCAGGCACCGCCAGGGGCGGCGAGCGGTGAGTCACCACGGGGGGCTCGCACACAAATTCCTCCTCGCCCACGGCCCAGAAGTAGCGGCCGCCCAGAGCGGGTGGGGAGGCGCAGGCCTCCAGGTCGTCCTCCCGGGCCAGCCGCCGCAGCCACACCAGCTCGCAGTTGCAGTGCAGGGGGTTGCCGCCAAAGGCCAGCACCAGGGCGGAGGCAGGGGAGCCGCGGGGCCGGGCCAGCAGCGGCAGGCGGGAGAAGAGCGGGTCGGGCGGGATGGTGGTCAGGCGATTGGAGGTCATGTCCAGCCGTGCCAACTTGTGCAGGCGGGAAAAGGCACCAGCAGGCACAGAGGCCAGCAGGTTGTGGTCGAGGCCCAACGTATTGACGTTGCCCAGGCGGCCCAAGGCCTCCCAAGGCAGCTGCTCCAGGTTGTTGTAGGACAGGTCGAGATCCTCGAGTGTCTCGGCGCAGTCGTCCAGGGCGCCGGCCGCCAGGGCCGCCAGCTGGTTGTTGCTCAGGATGAGGTGGCGCAAGTTGACCAGGCCGCGCAGCTGACCCTCGCCCAGCGAGGTCAGCCGGTTTCCGTCCAGGTGCAGGGCCCGCAGGGCGCGCAGGTCAGCAAAGGCGCCGGCTGCCACATGGCGGATGGTGTTACGCGACAGGCTCAGATGCAGCAGGCCGGTCATGTTGGCCAGGTCGCGGCGGCGCACGGCCGCGATGAAGTTGTCCGCCAGGCGCAGCTCGGCTGCCCGGCGGTCCAGCGACGGGGGCACGAACAGGAGGCCTGCCCCCGGGCACAGCACGCTGAGGGGCAGGGACTGTGTCTGGCAGCGGCAGCGGCGGGGACACGGGCTGGGAGTGGCTGGCTGCGCTGGAGACGAGGCAGGGGCCAGTGGCAGCAGGCAGAGGAGCAGAGGGAGGACGGCCATTGCGGGCAGGGGCGGCCTACAGGGAAGAAGGGAGGCATCAGGGCAGGCTGAGGCCAGAAAGGGGGGGGTGCCAGAGGGCATCGGGGTGGTTCGGGACCGGGAGAGAAGGTCTCAGTGGGCTGGGAGCAAAATATTGGGTCAAAGATGGTCAGCCAGAGGAGTGGGAGTGGTCAGAAGGATCAAAAGCCAGAGGAGCTGGTCAAAGACTCAGAGGGATGTGTCAGAGGGAGCAGACATGAACAAAGACAGGGGAGAGGGAGGTAATTAGAGATGGTCAGAGACAGAGAGAGAACGGGAGGGTTGATCAGAGTGGGTAGAAGGGAAGCCAGAGGGCTTGAAACATGGTCAAAGACATGGTCAAAGACGGCCAGAGAGGAGAGGCAGTCAAGGTGGTGGGAATGATTAGAAGTAGTCAAACATGACCAGAGAAGGGAGGTGGTTAGAGATGGCCAAGAAGATGAGAGGTGGACAAAGGAGGGGACGTGGTCAGGGGCGCTCAGATCTAGGAGACGTGGTCAAAGACGGTCTGAAATGGTCAAGAGCCAGAGAGGTAGTCAGATAGAGGAGACAGCTGGAGAGGAAGACAGCAGGGTAGCGTGGTGGGTGCGGGGAGAGGTCACGAGAGAGAGGAAAGGCAGCCAGATATACTAGAGATGATGAGAGAACTCCAGTGCTCAAGAGAGACCGCGAGAAGAGAGGTGGTCAGTAAGGGTCGCAGACTGGCAGTTGGGACGGGTGGCGGGCGGAGGGCGAGAACAATGGCAAAAGATGGTCAGAGACAGCCAAGGCTCAGAGTCAGGGGTGGACAAGAGCGAGAGAGCTGGTGAAAGAGGATTCGAGAGAGGCACGGTGGACAGAGATGCCAAAGGTGGTCACGGAGTGAAGCAGCAGACAGAGGTGGCCTGAGAGAGCAGCAGTGGAAGGAAGTGTCAAAGAGGATTAGAGCGAGGAGTGGTGAGCGGAGATGGTCAGTGAGGGGGGCGGTGGCCAGGAGAGGCGTCTGGAGACGGTCAGATGAGACAGATGGTGGGAAGAAACTGGAGAACAGAGTGCGAGATCAGAGACCTAGAGGTGCCATAAACTGGGGAAGAGGAGGTCAGAGAGGGGCAGTGCTGGTCAAATAAATACCCAGAGAGTATCTGAGGCACAGGAGGAGCTAGAGGCAAACCCCTGGAGGAGGGAGGGCGCATATTTGTTTCCTGGGAAAACCCCAAGTGTGCCCAGGGGGACCTAGTCCTCACTTACCTCCACCCCCAGGCACAAAGTTCCTCCCAGGTCCCTCCCCACCATGGGGGTCCCCCAAGAGCCTTACCTGAGCTGGAAGCCGCCCTAGGGAGCAGAGTCCTCAGGCTTCAACGGGTCAGGGGTCAGGGCTCTGGAGCGGGGGCCTGGTCATGCCTTCTCTGTCCCCAAGTTCTCCGTAGAGGGACTGTGCTGTATCTCAGCCCAGATCTGTGGCCATGGAGTCTCTAGACCTTGATATTTAGGGTCCTAGATCTCTAAATATAGGGCCTCTAGGGGCCAATTTTAGAGACCCGGGCTCCAGTTTGGGTTGGTCAGAGCCAGTATGTCCTAGCTCTGGTCTCGGGATGCTAAACAGCCAAATGGAGAGTTTAGGGTCTGAGTCTCAAGCCCAGTCCTGGGATCCGATACTGGGGTGCTGGGCTCAGGTATTGGGGTGCTGAATCAAGATTTGGAGGTCTCTAGCCCTCAATTTCAGCTTTTGGGTTTGCAGCAAGGACTTCAGGCTCAAACTCAGGTTTAGGCCCCTTGGAATGCCGGGGTTCAGATCTTGGAATATGAGGCCTAAATCTCAGGGTTTGGGTCCCTAATAGTGGGTTCCTGAGTATAGATATGGGAATCTGGTCCCAGATTTCAAGGTCCCAGGCACAGCGTTCAGGGTTCAGTTCCAGATTTGGGGCTTTAGAAGCAAAATCTTGAGGTTCAGGCTCCAAAACTGGGGGTCCATATTCCAAGTCTTGGGGTTCCAGAGACTGCTGTTGAGATTCCAGCCCCAGATACTAGGTGTTCAGGCTCCAGGTCTTGGGGTCCCAGCCCCAGATCAGGGTCTCAGGCTCAGGTTTCCAGATCTCTGGATCCAATCTCGGGGTGCAGGCCACCGATGTCGGGGTGCGGGCCCTGGGTTTAGGGCGGCGTGGTCCCGGCTTGCTTCCCGGGCTGCGGCGGGGACTGGCCCGGAGGGATGGGGGGGATACGGCCGGGGGAGGGGGGCAGCAAGGCAGCCCCGGGGGCCGGGGTGGGGCGAGGCCTGGGCGAGGACGGACGGACGGACTGGGACACTCGGGGTGGAGACACCGCAGCGCAGGTCCGGGCGCAGGGGGGAGGGGCCGCGCTCAGAGACCCCTCCCCCGCCGGGGCCGGGGCGGGGGCCGGGCGGGGGCCGGGCAGGCGGGCTGGGTCCGGGCGCTCCCGCGGCCTCCTCGCCGGGAACCCAGGGCCGCGCGCGCGCCCGCGCTTAAAGGCGCAGGCCCCGCGCGTGCCCGCGCTTAAAGGTGTAGGCAGCCCCCCTCTCGCAAAGGCGCGCGTCCAGCCCCATCTCCTTTGGAGTCGCCCTGGCGTTGCTTGGGAGCGAGAAAAAATCCTTGGATACAGAGAGACATAGAGAGAGACACAGAGACTGAGACAAAGAGACACACCGATTGGGAGAGACAGAGACAAAAAGATGGGCAGGTTTAGATGGAGAGACAGAAGTAAAATGAGAGAGGCCGATAGAGAGACAGAGATAGAAAGACACATATTCAAGGAGAGATGAAAATACACAGAGACAGTGGGAGACCCAGAGAGAAACAGACAAGGACATGACAGAGATAGACAATGACAGAGACATGAGAAAGTCAAAGAGACAGAGACACGGGTGGGCCGGGGGTGGAGGTGGCAGAGACTGCACCGGGGCAACTCAGCTGTGAGGATGGGTATGTGTATTTGTGTGTTTCCAGTTCCCATTCACAGCTTTGAATATGGCCTTCCATCCCAGAGTCTCGGGCCCCCAAGCCTGTCTCCTCTCCTTTGTCTCAGCACCATCTCCCTGGGATGTCCTTCCCTAGGTGGGGTTTCATTACATGGACCCTGCCCAGCAACAGGCCTGATCTTTCAGGCCAGAGAGGAGACTCTGCTCCTTCCCAAGTCTCCTTGCCCTGGCTGCAAGGGGGAAACTTGGCTCCCAGACCCTGTGCCCTCTGGAATTACAGCTAGACCTCGAGAAACACTGGACAGATAACCTATAAAGGATGGAAAAGATAGGAAATGGGACAGAGGCAGAGGACTGGACATGATAGGAAATGGGACAGAGACAGGGGGCTGGACAGGTTGACCCAGAGAAGTATGTCCACTGCCTTTCCCTCTCCCTGACTCGGGTCCATTGCCCCACAGAGGACTCTGCTAGAATTGTACTAACACATGACTCACCAGGAGTGGGGGCTGCCTGTCCTGACCATTGTGAGAGGGGAGTGGAGGGGAGGGTGGGGGGTTCCACATGTCTCCTGGCACATGGTATCACAGGAAGAGGGATGTGGGTGGTGGTTCTACAAGCCTGCCCTGGGTACTTGGTTATAGCAATATGGGGGACCTGATCTTTGGGACCCTTGGTCTGAAGGGAACACAGTCTTGGCCTTTGGTCATAGCCCTAACCCTGGGGGAACCTAAATGGTCACATACCACCCCCCAGGGATGCCACCCTCCCTTCTGAGTAGAGGAGTAAAGCCACCTGGGGGTAGGAACATGGATGCACATCACCCTGCATCCCTATCTCTGTTGAAGGTTTCTGAAGAGACTTTTGGCTCCTTCCACTATGTGTATTGAAAAATTGCAGCTAAAATTAACTCAGCTCTAAGGCCTGCTTTTCCAGATCATTAGCAAAGTTCATCAGTGCTCCTGGCCCAGCATAGTAGATACCGGTTACTCAGACACTCAGAAAAAGGATGCAGAAGTCTCAGAGACACTACAGAAGTGGTGGAGGTGGGCAGATAGATGGAAATAACTGGAGACAGTCCAACAGCAGAGTGGGATGAGAATTCAGTGGAACTGGCTGATTTGGGGGTGACCCCAGGAAATGGGCAAGCAATTGGGGGAGAAAGAGGCAGGGGAGGAAGAAAGTTAATAGAGGGTGCAGGTGAAGAGCAGATTACCCCTCTTGGCAACTGGGGCTCAGTTCAGCTGGGGAACATTAAGGAACTTGTAGAACACATCAGAATTATGGTTCCTCCCCTTTCTTCCCCCCCTGCAAAATTTCTTCCCCCTGCCCCTGCATTTATACACTAGTCCTTAACCCCTTTGGGTGATGGTCATCTCTTTGGTAGGGGGAGAGGGTGGTACTGAGAGCCATCTGAGATCTGAGGCAGAAAAGCAGAGAGGGATGCCTTGCGTGAAGTAAACCAGTTGTCCTCACACTTTAGTTATGTTGGGATAACCTTAACAATAGATCTCTAGGCCCCAGTCCCAGAGTTTCTGATCCAGTACTTCTAGGTGAGGCCCAAACATTTGCATTTCTAATGAGTTCACAAGGGATGCTAATGCTGCAGGTCCAGGGACCACACTTTGAGAACCACTGGGCTAAACCAGGGACACCTGCGACTTCCATGGAACTGTCCACTACAGTTGTGCTGAAAGCTGGTGGATTGAGGGGTTTAGCTTTCTAAGTGTGTGCCAGAGAAACAGACATATTTAGAGACATAAAGCGGGGCTCGGAAACAGAGAGGGGCAGAGGCAAAGATGCTAGTTCGATATTTACTGGAGCTGTCTGGCCATGGTTGTGTGCTAAATGACTGCAGCAGAAGTGTCACCAAGGCAGTGTCAGGTCCTGCTTTCACTGAGCTCAAATTTCAAAAGTGAAAAAGACACCTCTCTAGACAGCCCAGAGTGATCAGGGCTGGGCTGGGAGAAGCTTGGGCTGCAGAGACTGGGACTGTCATGACAGAGGCCCGGCCACAGTGGCCAGGCCTGGGGGTCCCCAGTGCGTCCCCCAGTGACAGAGGATGCACTGGGCAAAATAATTAAGGGCTTTGATGGCAAAGCACAGGCCAGAGTGGCCAGGGCTCTGATGGAGGAAGCAGAGGGGTGTGGGGTCCCAGAGGCAGAGTCCAACCCTTTAGGTGCCCCTGCCCCCCCTCCACCCCCAGTGACGGAGGCTTCCTGGAGGAGGGGACCTTTATGCTGAGACCTGAAGGATGAGTATGAACAAAGCAGGTGGGCAAAGGGACTCTGTGTTGTTTGTGTGCCCTCATGCTATAGCATGTGCAGTCTGGGGGATCCCTGCGGTGCCTGAATCTGCATGTGCTGTAATCCCTCATTAGCTCCTGCAAGGGGATCCTGGTGGGATGGTGGTTTGGGGGGGTTCTCCTTAATTGTCGCATTTACTTAATTACAACATCTGGAGAAGGGGACAAAAGCAGCAGAAAGAGCCACAGCAGGAAGAATGAGGTTAAACTGCCTGAGAGCTGAGGGGGCCTTGGGGGGAAGGGGATTGCTCGTATACACACACAGAATCTGCCTGAGTATACAAATACACATGGGGGACACATCCACATTCATACATGCACATCACGGACTCAGAGGCTCACCAGAACACAGACACAGCAGGCGCATGGAACACGTATACACCTGGCTTCATGTTCAAATACAGGGGACATACACAAGTGCACACCTCGTCACACACCTCTGACATACACACACACAGACTCACACTCAGACATGTGAGAGATCCAATGTGTAGAAACACACTCCGCCCAGATTCCCTCTTGCATGCATGTGTGAGCCACATTCCCACACATATACACAAGAAACATATTCAGAAAGCCAGATCAAACACCTACAAGGTATGGGTACGCACACATGTGCACACGGACATGTGCACATGGACATTCAAATCAACAAAGTCAGTCTGTCAAAAAAAGACTTTATAAACTTAGGCCCCTTTCAAGTTGGGGGACGTTTGAGCAATGATGGATGGAGGTGGTGTCCCTTTATCCTCAACTAGTACCCACCAACCCAAGTCCAGCCAGCGGGGTTCACTGGAATTAGCTCAGCTTTGTAATTAGCACATGAATCGGTACGGGGGACTAAGGAGTCACTTTATTTTTTTGTTTTATTTTTTTAAGATTTTATTTATTTATTTGACAGAGAGAGAGAGAAAGAGAGCACAAGCAGGAGGAGCGGGAGAGGGAGAAGCAGGCTCCCTGCCGAGCAGGGAGCCCGATGCGGGGCTCGATCCCAGGAACCTGGGATCATGACCTGAGCCAAAGGCAGATGCTTAACCAACTGAGCCATGCAGGCGCCCCAAGGAACTCACTTTAAAGGTTAGGTCGTAAGGTGCATTCCCATATGGATGGGTCAAAAGAGATGGGCAGGAAGATGAGTACATCCTCCCACCCTCCCAGACATATACACTAACCACCCTAAATCACACTGATGGATCTCTGGCAAGCACTGACTTCTACAGGGCAACCACAAGATCCTGTGCATGAGGCTCTGCTTAACTATGGTAGAAGACCTAACGCAATGTTCAGGGTCTGCTTTAATAACTCCCAACTGTCAACCTGGAAGAGAACTTCCATAAGAACACAGGGGAAAATTTACATTTGTGCAAAGAATGGAGGGTAATATACTGATAACTTTTAATTAGTAAACATAGAGCCTTTGGGCCACTGTACGAAACTGCTATGTGAAAGCCTGACCATCACAGCTGGGGATTAGAGGCTCATTTCACCGAATGATAGGGGGGTGCCCAAGGTTTACTGCTATCAGGGGACCAGAGAGGAAGGATCGGAGTATCAGTGCATATAATGTCAGCTACTGTAACAAAGAACTCTCTTGATTACAGTGAGTTCATACAATAGTTAATTTCTTGCCACAGGTGTCCTGCTTGGTTGGCAGCTGTCCTCCATCTGGTGACTCACACAGCATACTTGTTAATCTTATGCCTCCATTATTTCCTGGGGCTCAGAATTATCTGCTTCCACCTGGCAAATGGGAGGAGACAGGGTGGAGAAGGTTCACTAGCTTCTTA